AGTTAATACTACTCTTCCTTGTTTGAAAGAGTCTAAGGGAATTTCCCCCTGTATCTAAAATAGTATTCCTTTAATACCTCCTAGTATTAACACTTGTTCCTGTGTATAAGCTACTAAGTAATTAAGAACTAGTAGTACTTCTTAATTAACCTTTCTTTTCTTACTATAAAAGAAAGTTACTTACCTTAACAACTGTTCTAAATAGTAGAGTAATTTATCTACTCACTTTAAATGTTAATTATTAAGGTTAGTTAATATTATAAAGTAAGTATTAGAGTTGATGTACTTGTGTGCTAGCTCTAGGTTTGAGTTCCCCTTAGTAGACCAGAGCTTTACTAGAATAGTAAAGATTTGTAACTAAGTTAGAGTTTTATTAAAGTGTTAGATATACTCACTTTACTAGTCCTAATTCTTAGAAATAATAACAGAATAGAGTATAGAGAGTAAGACTTGTAGACTTATAGAGTAAGAGGGTAGAGGAGTCCTACTTTAGTCAAGCTACAAGTGTAGCCTAGTAGGTTAGTAGTAGAGTACTTCTAAGTGCTAAGTAACTTAAGTTAATAAAACTATCTTTTGAGGGCCAAACTAGCCTCCTTATATACCTTTTACTAGAGTAATGTTACTCTAGTGACTTTAGTAACTCCCTTCACTGTTGTTCCTATAAAGTGGAGCTAGCTAATCCTTTAAACTGTATACTATACTAGTGTCTTCTATTAATCTGCTAACACTAGTTTGTGTCTTCTTGTATTCTAAATTAATCTTCTAATGACTCCTTTACTGTATTGTTATGTCTTCTATACTTCCTCTCATACTTCTAATGACTCCTTATGAGTCCTCCTAACTAGTTATACTGTGTAAGCTGTATAATGATTTCCCTATAAAGTAGAGCTTTCTATTGTTCTTATAACTCTGTCTGACTTGACCTGTACTTTCTGTACACTAGTTTGTAATACACTTTCTCATAAGGTAGAGTGTTATGACTTCTAATGACTCCTTATAACTCTTGTAATATAAAAGGCTGTACTTCTGTACTGCCCCTAGAACTTACAACCAAAGTTCTAGACTGTCTTGTATACACTCTAGAACTGACAACTAATGTTCTAGATCTTTCCCTAAGTCTTCTTTAATAGACTTAGTTTAGGAGACAATTATCCTTATTAACTTCTAGCCTTATCTTTATACTTCTATATTTAATCATAGAACTTACAACCAAAGTTCTAGATTGTCTCAATGTATTCCTTATGTTGTTCTCATAGTAGTCCTCATGTTTATAA